AATTGAAGGCTGAGCGCAAGAAGAGGAGCGATGACAGCCTGCTGTGCCGAGGATACATCCTCAATTCACTCTCTGATCATCTCTACGATCTGTATTCCCAGTTGGCGACCCCTACTGAGATTTGGACATCTTTGGAGAACCAGTACAAATCAGAGAAACAAGGCGCAGATAAGTTTGTCACATTCCAGTTCTTTGAATTTAGTATGACTGATAAGAGTTCAATTATGGATCAAGTTCATGAATTCCTAATCTTGGCCTCTAAGTTCACTGCGTTGAAGATAACTCTTCCTGATGCGTTTCTGGTGGGGGCAATTATTGCGAAGTTGCCTCCATCATGGAAAAACTATAGGAAGAAATTACTTCATACGTCAGAGGAGTTCACTTTGGAGCAGATTCAGAAGCACCTTAGGATCGAGGAGGAAACTCGTATCCGTGACAAGGATCTGAATTCGGAGGCACCATCAAGTTCCAAAGTGATTGTTGTGGAGAGCAAGAAGGGAAAGAAGAGAAAGGCCATGAATAATTCCAACAACCAGACCAACAACCAGAAGAATAACAAGAAAAAGTCGTCCACTAAGAATTGTTTCAATTGTGGGCAATTGGGACATATTGTTCTCTTCTGTCCTAATCCAAAGAAGAACCAGAATGAAGGGGCTGCAAGTGCAAATGTGATTGAGAAAGTTGAGCCTAGTGAGATTGTTGCAATGATTTCTGACTTACATGTGAGTATGATTCAGGAATTGCACATGGCTGGAGTCATGACCAGTGCTGATTGGTGGTATGATTCGGGGGCAACTGCTCACATTTGCAACAAGAGAGCCATGTTCAAGGACTACAAGTTTACGGAGGGACACGAGGTTCTGTTAGGTGATCATCGCACGATCAAGGTTCTTGGATCTGGAACCGTGGAGCTTTTCTTCACTTCGGGAAAGAAAGTTGTTCTCACCAATGTCCTTCATGTTCCTGATGTTAGAAAGAACTTGGTTTCTGGTTTCATGCTTTGTAAGAAGGGGATAAAGGTTGTGATAGAATCTGATAGGGTGATTCTGACCAAGGCTGGTATGTTTGTTGGGAAGGGCTATGTTAGTGATGGTATGTTTAAGCTAAGTCTTGACAATGGTAATATTAATAATAAAGTTGATGGTTCTGCTTATATCGATGTGCATGCAAATTATAATATAGAAAGTAATTCATTTGATTTATGGCATAATCGATTGGGGCATGTTAACTTTAAAACTCAGAAATATATGTCTAGGAATGGTTTAGTAATTTGTGGTGATGACAGTGGAGATAAATGTGAAATCTGTGTGCAAGCTAAGATGAAGAGAAAGCCATTTCCTAAGTTGGTTGACAGAAAATCAGAATTGTTAGAATTAGTACATTATGATATTTGTGAATTTCATGGTCAATTAACTAGAGGAGGATGTAGGTACTTCATTACTTTCATTGATGATAGTACTCGATTTACCTATGTCTATTTAATGCGAACCAAGGATGAAGCCTTTGATAAGTTTAAGTTGTATAAATCTGTTGTTGAAACTCAAAAGGGTAGGAAAATATAGATCCTTCAAAGTGACAGAGGTGGAGAGTATTTTCCAAATAACTTTAACGAGTTTTGTGAGCAACATGGTATAATACATCAAAGGACTGCTCCTTACACCCCACAACAGAATGGAGTAGCATAGAGAAATAATGGAGTTCTTTCTAACATGATTAATGCTATGTTGATGAATACTAGTGCTTCAAACAATTTGTGGGGTGAGGCTTTGCTAACAGCCTGCCATGTACACAATAAGATTCCGTCTAAGAAGCTAAGGGAATCTCCCTATGAGTTGTGGAAGGGAAGGAAACCGAACTTGAGTTATCTTAGAGTTTGGGGCTTTCTTGCTTTCTACAGAGTCCCAGATTCTAAGAGAACTAAGTTAGGACCACGAACTTTGAAAGGTGTTTTTCTTGGAAATGCAGAAAACTCAAAAGCCTATAGGGTTCTAGATTTAGAATCTAATGTGGTTGTGGAATCGAGAGATGTTGAGTTCTTTGAGAACAAGTTTCAACGTGACTCTGCAAATGTAGAACCATGTCGAGTTACTTCTGTAGATTCCTCAAATGAGTCTATCTCTGCTCCCGCTTTTGACATTGGTTCTAGTAGCAAAAGGCCTTTAGATGACCTTGCTGCTAATGAACCACAAAGAATTCAAAGGGCTCGAAAGGAAAAGAGTTTTGGTCCAGAATTTATTGATCCTCAAGATATAGTCTTTCTTGTAGAGGGAGATAGCTTAAATAAGGTTACATGAAAGATACCCATTTTGTTCCATGTGCAAGACGATCCCAAAACCTATCAAGAAGCAATGGCTTCTAGAGATTCTGCCTTTTGGAATGAGGCTGTTAATGACGAGATGGATTCGTTATTAATAAATAAGACTTGGGTTCTTGTGGATTTGCCTCCTGGATCTAAGGCTATTGGATGCAAATGGGTATTTCGCATTAAGTATAACACGGATGGATCAATACATACCTTCAAAGCTAGATTGGTGGCAAAAGGGTTTAGGCAAAAGGAAGGAGTAGATTGCTTCGACACTTATGCACCAGTTGCAAGAATTACTTCCATAAGAGTGCTTTTAGCTTTGGCTTCTATTTACAATTTGCATGTACACCAAATGGATGTAAAGACGGCATTCTTAAATGGTGAGTTAGATGAAGAAGTGTATATGGAGCAACCAGAAGGGTTCGTGTTGCCTAGAAATGAAGGAAAGGTGTGTAAATTGCAAAAGTCATTGTATGGACTTAAGCAAGCACCTAAACAATGGCATGAGAAATTTGATTATGTTGTTTTGGCTCATGGATTTTCTCATAACTCTGCTGATAAGTGCATTTATTCAAAGTGCACAAAAGAGTATATGGTCATTATATGCCTTTATGTATGTTGATAATAGGAACTAACATGAAAGGTATAAATGAGACCAAAGAGTATCTAACTTCCTGCTTTCAAATGAAAGATCTTGGAGAAGTAGATACTATATTGGGCATCAAAGTAAAGAAACATAGTGGGGGTTTTGCTTTGAGTCAGTCACATTATGTCGAGAAGATGCTCAAGAAATTCGAGCATTTGGATATAAAGGAGGCTAACACCCCTTATGATGCATCTTTTAAGCTTTGTGCGAATGAGGGAAGAGCAGTGGCACAAGTTGAGTATTCTAGTGCTATTGGAAGTTTGATGTATGCAATGGGATGTACTAGGCCCGATATTGCATTTGCGGTGGGCAAACTTTCTAGATTCACTAGTAATCCTAGTGCCGATCATTGGAGAGCTATTGGAAGAGTCTTTGGTTATTTGAAAAGAACCAAAGATTTGGGACTCTTCTATAGCAACTTCCCCGCTGCACTAGAAGCATTTTCTGATGCTAGTTGGATCACGAGCGCTAGTGATAATAAATCCACAACAGGATGGATTTTTACACTAGGTGGTGGAGCTGTTTCTTGGGCTTCGAAGAAACAAACATGTATTACACACTCCACTATGGAAGCCGAATTCCTAGCCCTTGCGGCGGCTGGAAAAGAAGCAGAATGGCTAAGGAACATGTTGTTAGATATAGAGTTGTGGCCACAACCGATGCCAGCCATTTCTGTATTCTGTGATAGTGAGGCTACGTTGTCTAGAGCTTATAACAAGATTTACAACGGTAAGTCTAGACACATTAGCCTAAGACATGATTACGTTAGGTATTTGATTACTAACGGAGTCATTTCTATTGTGTATGTAAGGTCGTGCAACAATTTGGCAGATCCTCTTACAAAGAGGTTGCCAAGAGGCATGATCTATGAGACATCCCAAGGGATGGGATTGAGACCTTTTGTATAGTTAGAAGTAATGGAAACCCAACCTTTTCTTTAGATATTTCCTAATTAAAAGGTTCAATGTGGTAATAACAAGTTACTCTAACTGGGAACTAGTTTATTGTATAAGTAAATTAGTTGTAAGAAGGGTGAGTTGTAGAACTCTTAATGACGTTCATTTGGAATGTCACCTATGTGAGCATTTGGAGTGGTTCCGCTCTAACGAAAATAAAGGTCAACTTTTGTATATGCTCATGAAACAGGATAAGCACATGGCCATAATAGTGCTACCCTTGTTGGTGGATGTGTTTTAGAGAAGAGACGAGTACGTGTGTGGTGTCTCCGGTTCTAGCTTTGGATCTTGACTCCTAGGCTTAAGCCCGTCACTGATTCGCTATGAACTTTGAGATGCTTACACTAAGTAAAGGTTCAAATCGAAAAGATACCTTTATGTATGCGTTACTTGTTTGAGGCAGGTATTCTCGACTCTTATTGACTAAGTGGGGGATTGTTAGAGTAGTCAAAGAGTAAAGGAAATACCACATTGGTGGGAGAAGGAAAGTGCAAGTTGTTTTTAAGTTTGTTTTCCACTTTAGTTATTGGATAAAGTGGTTAGTGGGCTTTTGGAAAAAGTGTGGGCTATTTAGTTTGACATATTAAATCGCACTACGCACTTAGCCCTTCGGAAGGGAACTGTCGTTTTCACTATAAAAAGTCTTCTGCAGCCGATGTTCTTGTCAACGTTCATCTTCTTCTGCTCGTTTTTCCTTCTCCAAAAACACGAACACAGAAGTCAGAAAGGTTGCTGCTTTCAGACTTAGGTTGAAGGGGACTCCTGGGGGTGGTTTGCCTAATTCCTACCAGCAACGAAGTAGTGGGGGCAAATAACACTCTAAGGAGAGTGATTAATCACGCCTCCAATCCGGTTTTCTCCATACTGTTTCCCTGACAACAACTCCAAAATGAAAGATCCAGAGTCCAAAATAATATATGGTTCACTGATGGAGCACACAGTTTGTAGTTCAACATATTTGTGGCATTCACAGCTGAGAAATCAGAAGTAGATAGTGTATAGAGATGGTATACAGTAGACTGCTTGCAAAAAGAACGGAGAAAGAATCACTGGTGCAGAAGAAGAAAAAAGACTTGTTTGCGCTAAACATCTGTCACTTGCCATAGCCATGCCTCTGTCTCATTCGTTCCTTAACGAACTCATCCCGAGCTCTAGTACGAGCTTGTTGAGGGGCGACATTGACGTAGGAGAGATGCGCCGCGTAACCCATGATGGCGGCTGCTGCGGCAAACAAGGCCGCCGTCATCCCCAGTTTCTTGGGCGAGGAAGGGAAGCACGTGACCATGCTACGGGTTCTATTCCTGATTTCCTGTACACTGCAACAGAAAGAAAGACCGAATGGAGGGAAGGAACTCAGTGGGGCATTTCGTCGAACACGTTGCAGGCAGTTGAACCAGATAATGAGTCGATTAGCCATGGATTACAGGAGTGGTTCATTGAAATCAGATCAAACTTCAGAGAAAATAATCATAAATGGGTAGCAAACAGTGAGTATAAAAATGAACGGCGTACGTTGGATCTGCAGATGTTCAGGGGCAAACTGGAGTGGAGTTGAGAAAGGAGGGAGAATACCAATCCTGCGATGCGGATCGGCATTTATATATGGTGCCATAAATGTTTTTAGTATATAAAGATATATTATTGTAAAAAATTTCAAAGGGGATGTAGCTCAGATGGTAGAGCGCTCGCTTAGCATGCGAGAGGTACGGGGATCGACACCCCGCATCTCCACTTTTATTTCTTTTCCAATCCGTTTGTCCGTCTCTGGGCCAACTTTGATTTCATTAAGCCCACTAAACCCAGCCTGTCCATTTTCATATCGAGACGCTTATGAAAAGGCCCATGGTAAGCCCATTTTCAGTTTTAACCTCGGCCTAACCAATTCCAAACTCGATAGCTGGGCCTGTGCCTCATGTGGAAATTCGGCCACAGAAAAGCTCAAATGTAGCTCTAACAATATCACTTTTGGAATAATTATAATAAATGTGTTGGGCTATACAAAAAGTAATTTTTTCCCCTACTTACATCTCTTTTCTTTTTGTAGATTTATAAATTAAAGATGGAGGAAAATCTTATTAAGGTAACCTTTGCTACGATATTCAAATTATTAGTATAAATGATCATAAATCATCGTAAAGTTGAATTCAAATTTCAATTCTAAAACTATTATTAGTTCCTCCCATTGAAGTCTATTGTTATAAGATTGTTGAATTCAAAATTATGACTCTGCCGGGTGAGCCTATAGTTCAATTCTTAAGTCCCTTCGAAAAACCAGTGTTATTAAAGCCGAGCCGAGCCGCTCGGCCTGACCGGTAAAACTGCAACCCGGTCATAAAACCGGCTCGAAACAGTCTAAAAGGCGTTCCGGTTTTATGTAGCGGTTGGCGAGCGGCCGAGGCGGTTAACCGCTCGAGTCGATCGAGCCGCTCGTCCGAATTTTGTCATTCAGCCGTTTAATTTAATTAAAAAAATTGCAGAAAATTGAAAATTGAAATAAACCAAAAACGTCGGCCTCTCAAATTGAATCCTTATTTCCATTTCAAAATTTCGAAGGAAAGAGATGAGCTTTGATTAAGAAATGTCCACTATTTATACTGATAACGTTTATTAGGTACCGGTTCTCTAACGATTTTTAAATGGTCTATTGCCGGTTAAACCACTAAAGTGTGAGCCATTCGCATTATCGAGTCATACTCCGGTTCGGTTCTGATAACATTGCGAAAAACATCAGAAAAAAATTGGAACGATACCTTTCAAACTCCTAACCATTCATTTATAAACAAACCAAATTCAATCAATGAGCAACCCTAATATAATCAAACAGGTTCCAAACCCTAGCTACCTACTTAGCCAGAAAGGTAAAGTAAGGGATGGACTCGTAGGGTCTCAGTTAAAAGCTTAATCAGTTTGGTAGCATTCATTTTCAATTGTGTACAAAGCAGCCAGTACCACCACTTATAATTAAATTTCTTTCCCTAAGCTAAACCAGTCAGTGATTGAAAATTATCATACAAATACATATGGTCCGAATGAATTTCGTTGTCATGCCAATGTAAATATGAGTAAGCAACATTTTTTTTTTATCTTTCAATTGCTCGTTGGTTTATGAATATACGATTTTGATATCGATATGCATCAAACAAGAGAGAATGAGGATTGCGGTACATTTGCATACAACATATATGAGAGTCGTCCAATAGCTGATTGAATGACCAAAAAAGTTTAAGTAGCTGCTATTATCTACTCCTTCAGCTTCAGTATCCCAAGACCAAATTGATTTTGAATTGATCACAAATCTAAGAAATTTAGGTAACTATGCCCACCTAGATTTGTTGATTTGTTTGAGGAATTGCAAGTCATACAATTGCTTTTTGATTGATCTTTCTGTGTTAGACTTAATATGTCTTGTTGAAACAGGACAGCAACCCAACCAATCCTTTCACTCCCCAGCAAAACTATGTTAGGTTACTGGATGACTTGACATGGATCCGATGCTTGTTGTTGGATCACCAACAAACTAACATAATCATAGCCCTCAAGTTTCCAGTAAAATTAATTAGCATTATTATTATTACTCTTGTAGTCTTGTTGGCAAGAAATTAATTCCAAGCACAAATTGACATTAGGCTTATTTTGGAGGGTAAAAGACAAATAAAAGGACCATATCTGGATTGAACTCTATGTAACCCACTTGGCTTTCTAAGCAACACTTTAACAATATATATGTGCCTAAATATTATTTAATTAATGCTTAATGATAGGGCTGAAAATTTGTCTTCCCGTCCCTGATCCTGTCTGACCCGTCCCTAAATGGTCAAGATGTATAACTGACCCGTTCCGTCCCTGTCTCATTCTTGACCATGTCTCACCCTCAAGGGTTGGGACGGGTCGGGACGAGCCGGGTCAGTGGGTCGACCCAAAATTATTTTTCTTACAATTTAGTACCTATTTTTTTTACAAATAAGTCCATAAAATTTGATGGTAGAATTACGTTTTGGTACCCAAAATATTTTATTTTTAAAAGTTAGTACCTAAACTTTTAAAATTTTACAAAAAGGTCCAATGTGGTGTGAGATATTTGTTGTTGCTAAGAGTCACAGGGTCAAAAAGTGACCCGTCCCGACCCTTACAAGGTCAACAAATGATCCGTCCCTAATCTGACCCTGTAGACAAACTGACCCGTCCCGACACTTAGTGACGGGACGGATCGGGTCAATGAGTCTTTCGGGTCAAACTTTCTCCCCTACTTAATAAAGCAAAATGATTGTATATGTTTCTTAGTTAGCTGATAACTTATAAATTAGGTGGACAGTTTTTTTTTTTTACCGTCTTCTCTTTAACTCCTTGTTCCTAGAAGGTGTAATAGAGTCGCAAATTTATCTTGCGACATCGGTAGTTCGTTTACAACATACTGGTAAACTATTAAGTTTTGTTATTTGAATTGAATATTTTGTTGTTGAGGATTATCTTTAATGTGAGAAGGGATACCACCACTTTTTTAAATAATCATCGATTTCAACATTTGAATTGAACTGTGTGAACCTTATTTTCACACATAGCCACTAGAGTAAGATTACCCAACATTAATTATTAAACCTTTTGCGAGCTATCCTTTTCTATTGGGGGAGAAAGCAACCACAAATATATACATTGGTGAATGATGATGACCGATGAGTAGGATGTTACAAGGTTAGCTAGAGGTCACATAGAGCAGTACCACCGGCCACAATTGTTTGATGATCATACCCAAATAAAAGCATTGAACACATTTATCAATAAAGTATTGAATGCAAAAAAAAAAAAAAAAAAAAAAGGGGCTAACATAGTAACATTGACCACAAAAAAGGCTAACAGAAGAGAAAATTGATCAAGTTTGGTTGGGCAAAGACAATTGATTGGCAAAACATTTTTTACGTGCGACATTGAATCAAGTTCTTAACTCTAAACTAGTCAAATGTTTTTGTCATCAATAATTGCTATCAGAATATTTTCTTGGAGTTATTAACAAATCAACCTTTCTATCAAAAAGATAATTAACAAATAAATTATTAGAGTTGGTTTACTTATATTTTTTATCGGAAATCATTAGTTTGGTTTTATAGTTGCAATAATGTAATTAAGGCAGCTAGAATCATGATTTCCCAGAAGATAAAATTAGGTAAACAACCAAGTCAATAGTGTCCCCTCCTTATCACTACGAGGGGTTTAGTTTATTTGCACAATGTAAAGGAGCCAATGACCATTGGCCAACACAGTTGCAATTAAGTTGAAACTTCACTTCCCCTGTTACTTAGGGTTTTTCCTATACATTCTCTAATAATTCTGCCTAATTTTTTCATGTTCGTTTTCAGATAGATAGATGAGACAGGCTGTGGGATAATTTGCCAATAGATGGTTGGATGATATATCCAAATTGACTATCTTTTTCTCCTTTAGGTGACATTAATATTATAAGGTTCCAACAAGTGGCGGGTTAAGAAAAACCAAGGAATTTATTTATGGGAATGTTTGTTTAATAATTAATATACATTATCATATAACTAGCTTTGCTCTTGGCTATTGGCCGGTTATTTTTACTATAATTAATTTTTTTTTATAGGTTACTATAATTAATTGTTTGAAATCATAAATAAACTACTTTTGGATTAGTTGATGTAATTTATTTGTAACAAAAATATTTATATTTATATCGTAAGATCCACTCCAGATTCATCTAATTTTTGAGACAATAACAGTTCTATCAACAAAGTGAAATGATCACAAATCAGAGGTAACGTATTAAAAACCTTTGATGACATGATAGTCCCAATGTTGTTCTAATAATTAATATAATGAATAGAATTTATTTGGTTAGTTTTGAAATTAATATTACCAAACAGAGTGTACCTAGTTAGAAACTTTACACTTAATAATTTAAATCTTATAGGTTATGAGTTTGAATCGTGGTAATAATAATTTATATGTTAATATATTGTATTCATTGATTGATCATTCGTATAGTTTTTTCAGCAGTTAAAACTTGTGCTTATAAATAGCTCAAAGTAAAAAGTACTTTCTAAGTCCAACAAATCCAACTACTAGGTCAAGAAAAATTTCTTCATATGGGCTATGACACAAACTTTGCAATTTGAACAAAAGCGCTCTAACCTTTTTTTTATCCAAGATAAGCCCTCAGGCATGGCCGAACAACAACAATATAAATAGAAAATAATAAAGAACGGTAGTCCGTATGCAACCGGACTCTCG